CCCCCCAGATGTCCCCAAAATGTCCCCAAAGCCCCCCAGATGTCCCCAAAATGTCCCCAGGTGTCCCCAAAATGTCCCCAAGCCCGCCGAAGTGTCCCCAAAATGTCCCCAGGTGTCCCCAGGCCCCCCGGGTGTCCCCACCTGTCTGAACTTGGCCCTCGCCTCCTTCTCCTTCATCCTCCCGTGGGACACCAGGTAATCGAACACCTCACCTGGGGGCACAGCCGCCTCAGAATCGCCAAACTCCACCCAAAAATCCCAAAATTCCACCCAAAAAATCCCAAAAAAATATCAAAAATTCCACCCAAAAAATCCCAAAAAAATATCAAAAATTCCACCCAAAAAATCCCAAAAAAATATCAAAAATTCCACCCAAAAAATCCCAAAAGAAGCCCCAAATTCCACCCAAAAAACCCCCAAATTCCACCCAAAAAATCCCCCAAAAAATCTCCAAAATTCCACCCAAAAAAATATCAAAAATTCCACCCAAAAAAATCCCAAAAAAATCTCAAAAATTCCACCCAAAAAATCCCCCAAAAATTCCCAAAATTCCACCCAAAAAATCCCCAAAATTCCCCCAAAAAAATCCCCAAAACTCCACCCAAAAAAACCCCAAAATTCCACCCAAAAAATTCCCAATTTTGGGAGTGCCCAGGTGTATTTGGGGGTGCCCAGGTGTGCCCAGGTGTATTTTTTGGGGTGCCCAGGTGTATTTTGGGGTGCCCAGGTGTGCCCAGGTGTATTTTTTGGGGTGTCCAGGTGTATTTTTGGGGTGCCCAGGTGTATTTTGGGGTGCCCAGGTGTATTTTTGGGGTGCCCAGGTGTATTTTGGGGTGCCCATGTGTGCCCAGGTGTATTTTGGGGTGCCCAGGTGTGCCCAGGTGTATTTTGGGGTGTCCAGGTGTATTTTTGGGGTGTCCAGGTGTATTTTTGGGGTGCCCAGGTGTATTTGGGGGTGCCCAGGTGTATTTTTTGGGGTGCCCAGGTGTGTCCAGGTGTATTTTGGGTGTGCCCAGGTGTATTTTGGGGTGCCCAGATGTGCCCAGGTGTATTTTTTGGGCTGCCCAGGTGTGCCCAGGTGTATTTTTGGGGTGCCCAGGTGTATTTTTGGGGTGCCCAGGTGTATTTTTGGGGTGCCCAGGTGTATTTTGGGGTGCCCAGGTGTGCCCAGGTGTATTTTTGGGGTGCCCAGGTGTATTTTTTGGGCTGCCCAGGTGTGCCCAGGTGTATTTTTGGGGTGCCCAGGTGTATTTTTGGGGTGCCCAGGTGTATTTTTTGGGGTGCCCAGGTGTGCCCAGGTGTATTTTTGGGGTGTCCAGGTGTATTTTGGGGTGCCCAGGTGTGCCCAGGTGTATTTTTTGGGGTGCCCAGGTGTATTTTGGGGTGCCCAGGTGTATTTTTGGGGTGCCCAGGTGTATTTTGGGGTGCCCAGGTGTATTTTTGGGGTGCCCAGGTGTATTTGGGGGTGCCCAGGTGTATTTTTGGGGTGCCCAGGTGTATTTTTTGGGGTGCCCAGGTGTGCCCAGGTGTATTTTTGGGGTGCCCAGGTGTATTTTT